TGGGTCTAAGTGGAGGCCATCTTGGAAGACAAGAGAGGCAGATCAGTGGTCTTCCTTCGTTCTCACTCCTTCCACCTCCAGCTGCCTTAACCTTGCCCTCCTCCCTCGCTCGCCTCTCCTCCTTCCGCCGTCCTCCTTCCCCCCTCCCTCGCTTCCCCCTCCTCCTTCCCCCTCCCTCCTTCCCGCTGTCCTCTCTTCCTTCCCCCCTTCCTTCCCCCTCCCCTGTCTGCCCCTTCCTTCCTTCCCCCTCTCCCTTCCCCCTCCCTTCCCCCCCCTCCCTTCCCCCTCCTCTTCTTCCTCCTCGCGTTCCCTCCTTCCTCCTTCTTCCCTGCCTCCTTCCCTCCTTTCTCCTTCATTCCTCCCCTCCGCCGGCTCCTGACTGGACTGCCTGCTGCAGTGAGCGGGGGTATGGCTGGGTGGCGGAGTGCCCAGCTGATTCTAACTCCCGGTAATTAACCCCACTGCCGGAAGCCACTGTGGCCCCTACGGGCCTGGAGGAGCAAGAAGGGACTGGAGGACCCGCGCTGTCCCAGCGTCGCCAGCAGGGGGCAGGGCTGCCTCACGCCGTGGGCACCGCAGCGGGCGCCGGGGCATCATGTCCTCGTGGGTCCTTGGGTTTCTAATCAGCTCCTTCATAACCGAGGGGGTGAGATGGGACCTGGTCCTGCCTCGGCCTCCCTTTGGGCAAACTCCTTCCTCTGAGGGCCTTTGTGAGCTGTGGGGACACAGCCCTGCAGGGGCTGCGGGTTCCCTCGGGGCATCTTTGCAGAGGGGACTCGCTGCGGAAAGGCAGGTAGAAAATGCCAGACTCAATGGCCTGCCCGCCCCGATGCTGTCTGAGTCCCTGCTGGGGGGCAGCTGTGCCCATCTGAGAGTCCAGGGGACTGGGCTGCAGGCTCTATGTGGCCCTTCCACGCCCCAGTCCCTTCCTCCTGAGGCCCCTGAGACTTCCCTGACCTCTGCTCACCTGGGTGCAGCTGTCTTCGGGCACAGCGATGACCCTCCTCCGCCCTGAGTGTGCACTGCCTGCACACAGTGCAGGGGCTGCCCCGTTCTCTCAGGAGGTGCTGTCAGGATGCACCCCATTCCCCACGCCTGCCCTTCCTCCCATTACGCTGTCTGCTGGCTGATGGCAGAGACAGAAGCACAGGGAGCTCAGCGGCGCCCATCCAGGAACCATGTGTCCCTGCCCCCACCGCAGGTGCCTGAGCCCCTGCCCCTCCCTCGCCTCTCGGTTCACAAACCTCCAGCCCACGCTGGCTCGCTGTCGCTGCCTGGGCGTGCTGGCGAGGAACTTATCAAGCCCAGCATCTCTGGTCCAGAGGGACAGCCCTGGGCAAGAGTCGCCGTGGCAACCAGATGCCACAGGGAGGCCCAAAGCTGGGTTGTCCTGCGATGCCATGCCAGCCGGCAGCCTGAAGTTTCTGCCTGGCTGGTGGGAGCACGGGGAGGTGTTCACGTCCCTGGAGGGGCACCAAACTCCCCCCACGCTCACCCCAGGAAGTCCCATAGTAACGCCCTGCCCCATTATTAAAACCAGCACCAAGGCCCTGGGAACCCGTGGGGAGCTTCCCCTTCCTGGGGTTCTCCCAGAGCCCCGAGGGCTCTGTGTCCTGCACCCACATACCTGAGCTTTCCCTTTTTGTCCCTGCGCCCTGGCCTGAGAACCCTGAGGGCTCACTCACCCCAAGGACGGGTGTCCGTGGAGGCTGTGCCCAGAGTCCAGGGGACCACCAGGGGACAGAGCCAGGTTCCAACCGCTGGTGTCTCACACAGCAGCACTCAGCCATGTGCGCACATGTGCAGCAGGACAGGAGGCCCCTCAACAGGGAGGCCACAACCCAGCTCCAGAGGCCCCAGGGTCGACCCCTTTTCCAGACATGGAAGAGGCCCACATGCTTCATGCGTGTAAGATTATATGCAGAGAATATGGGTGGGCCAGACCCAGGAGGCCGGGTCAGCAGAGGGCTGTGCCAATGAGGAGAAAGCAGGTGGGCACTTCGAGGACTCTGCCCTCCCTCGGGGTCCATTCACACTTGGGCCCCTCTGGAGAAGCCCAGGCTGGTCTTGGTGGGCAGAGCCGAGGCCCTGGCAGAGGAGGGTGTGTAGTCCGGGGAGCCTCCTCTGGATCCGCAGCTGGGACCCAGGGTGGCTTGTAAGATGGCAAAGTGAGTCCAGACTCCTGTGGCACCCACCACTCAGCCACAGTTGAGGGCCAGGGAGTGACCCAGAGTTTCAGGGCACAGCTGCCGTTCCCAGGAAGAGGGAGAATGGTGGGTCCTGACTCCACCAAGGGAGGCTGGCTCAGCCCCGTCTCCACGACCCCCACGGCTCTGTCGAGCCTTCCAGGACTGAGTGCAAGTGTGTATGTTCCTGAGTGTCAGTGTGTGTGCACAGGAGCGTGTATGGGTGTGTGTGCCTGGGGGTGTGCATGGGATTATTGGTGTACATATGAAAGCATGTATGTGTGCATGAGAGCGTGCATGGGTGTGTACATGAGTGTGTGTGCATGGGAATATGGGTGTGTGGGGTGTATAGGTGTGTGTGCATGGGAGTGTGGGTGTGTACGAGCGTGTATGGGTGTGTGTGCATGGGAGTGTGTGTGTGCATGGCAGTGTGTATGGGAATGTGTATGGGAGTGTGGGTGTGCACGAGTGTGGGTGTATGGGAATGTGTATGGGAGTGTGGGTGTGTGTGCATGTGAGTGTGGGTGTGTACATGAGCATGTATGGGTGTGTGGGAGTGTGGATGCATGGGAGCGTGTACAGGTGCGTGCATATGAAAGTGTGTATTGGTGGTTGCACGGGCATGCATGCGTGTGTGTACATGGCAGCAGTTGTGCATGGGTGTGCATGCCAAAGCATGTGTGTGAGCATGTGATGTGTGCATGCATATGAATGGGTGCAAGGGTGCATGTGAGCGTGTCTGTGCGGGTGTTTGAGTATGCAAGTGTGTGAATGTGTGTGTGCTCACGAGGGGAATGCCATCAGGAAGCCCCTGCCCTTCAGGTGGCAGGCCCTTCCATTTTAATTCTCACCCAGGAGCCACCCTTGCTTTGGGCACAGGCCACACGGCCCTCTGCCCACCATCACAGGGCAGGACCTGGACCCTCAGAGCCCCACTCCCCATCTTCACTCTGTCTGGTGCTTCTCGTGGAGGGTGCCTGGCTGGACACAGGTGCATGAGAGGGCTCCGGGCACCACCATGAAACCTCAGGCCGGGAGCAGTCCAGCCCCAGAGAGCATGGAGACGGAGGGCATTTATCACAGGAGACAGTGCAGATGGGGCATCATTAACTTGTTATTATGGGGCAGTTGGGTGACATCGTGTGTTCCCTGGCCCTCTGGGTTCACCTCCTGCCCACCCAGGCCAGCATGGCTGCAGAGGTGTGGATGCTTAGGCAGCCCGGTGAGGGACAGGTGGGAACACTCGCGCTCTGCAGGTACCCACAGGCCCGGTGCCTGTGGCTGCTGACAGATACCCTCGTGGAGGCCCCAGCCTCCTGCCCCTTGGAGAAGCAGCAGAGGCCAGTGGACAAGGAGAGAACTCCCGAGTGTGGCCCGCAGAGGACGCCGGCCTTGCCACACAGGACCAACGGGTGGGGTGGGGAGGAGGGCGGGCTGGTGGGGACTGATTACGGGCCCTCCCGCCCCAAACAAAAAAAATCCCCACACAGAACAAACGAACTGAATGGCGATGTATTTTAAACGCTCATATTTTGTTTCTCCTCTCACGTTTCTCCCTTTGCGTGCTTCTTTTCCACCATTCTAATGTCACTGTCCATCAAACCCTGGCACCTGCGGCCGCGATGTTTCAGAGACAATCGTACGGGGAAGCGTTTCACAGTCACAGTCGCAGGAAGGCCGGCAACAGGACGCAACAGAGTGAGGCTTTAAAAATTACTCGAAAGGGGAAGAAAACCCTTGAAAGCCTCAGGCCCACCCTCCTGTCCCCAGGAAGACACCCCTGCTGCGGCGGTTTCCTCCCAAGCCTCGCCGCCGTCACAGGAGCCCTCTCCTCTGCCATCGTCCGTCCTGGCGTTTCTCGCACGAAGCTTTCACCTCAATCTCTAGAAGCAGAAACAAAACAGTCCCAGCCCTCCCCCCGCCATATCCAAGTATACATGAGGGATAAAATTACATTTGTACAAAAATAGATTTTTTTTTTTTTTTACCTTTCCAGATGCTTTAGACATTTTCTCTTATCTTTACTCTCTTTATGGATCTGTCATCCTCTCTAAAGTATTAGCTATGCGTCCCAGCTAAGGCATTGCTAAGGATTGGGAACGGCTAAAGCTGTCTGCTCCAAAGCATCTTAAAATAGATGCATCTCCTGCCTTGAGATAGTCATTCGAACCCGGATTTCACCAAAGGAGGGTCCTTATATACTTGCTTACACGAAGCAAATTTATAGGAAAACAGGGGAAATGTCTTGATTAAAAATAAACACAAAACACTGGTAACCGCTCCGCCTCTCCTGCGTGGCACTCGCGTGCGGCTCTCTCCACACGCATCTCTCTGTACAGCACATACATGTTTACACCGCACACCCGCGTGGACGGGCACCAGGTCACGCACCCCAACTCCACAACAGGGACACCAGCCGACTACCCACAGGCTGCACATTCTGGCAGGGCCCTCCTGGGTGCCCCAGGGGGAGGGGCTCGGGGCCATCTCCAGCACTGCCACCAGGCCGCCAGCCCAGAATTCTTGGGGAACACCGTGCTTGGAAAACCGAAGGTCAGGGCTGTCTTTCCCAGAGGTCGTATGCTTCCAGGGTATGGAGGGCCAGTGGCTGACACAGGCCCCAGGGTGGAAGGTCCCGGCAGGCCAGCTTCCAAGCGTGCCCGACGCAGCCTAGGGGACCCCAGCTCTGTGGCATCTTCACTCCTCAGCCTAGGAGCGCCATCTGAACGGCAAAGCCGGAAGGTGACCAGCTGAGGCGCCCGACTGAAGGTGCCGGAGTGCCCCGGGGGCCCAGGAAGCAGCCGCTGGGAAGGGGGGGCCCTGCTGGGAAGCCGCTTCATCCAGCCGGGCCAAGGCGGGGACAGGCACAGGTGGCTAATGAGCTGATGTTAGTGCTATCTTTAGAAAATTAAAGATTGTCCCACCAAAATAAGAATTACAAAAAAATCACCTTAATTGAACCGGATTGGTAATACCACTACAGGTCTGGTTAAATAGAAACTCTACCTCTCTACTCAGTGATGCGCCACACTCCTCACGCGTCACCTTTTCAAACCAACAGCACTGTTTGTACAACCGCAAGGCCGATGAGAAAGGGGCAGGAAGAGCCCAGGACACATGGAGCGGTGGGCAAGGCTGCCGGGGCCAGGGAGGCCCGGTTCTGCTTTCAGGGGTTGGCGGCCCGGGGGGGCTTCAGTGCTTTACATCCAGCCAGCCAGCCAGCGCCGGAAACGACCAAGTTCCCAAGAAGCCGACCCCCTACCATCGAGGCCCGTTCCTGGGCTTCTTCCTCTGGAGCCGCGGGCATTCCCAAGGGTCCGGGCACGGATGGGTGGGCACTGGCTGCAGAAGGCACCAGGTGTTGGCGTTAGCTGTTTTCACGCTCCCACCGCCGGGGCCCCGAGAATGCCTGCATCCTCCTGCCGTTTCCATCACACCCCCCAGGGGCAGCTGGGGCTTCCTGGCAGTGCCTGGGAGGGGCCCAGCTGGCCAGGGACCTGGTACAGGTGTGAGGCTCAACACTCTGCCTCAGGATGGTGGACTGGGCAGGGGGCCACCTCTGGGGATCCACGACGCTGAAAGGCAGGGGTGGAGGGGGGCAGGAAGGAGGCAGGGGTGGAGGGGGACAGGAAGGAGAGGCTTGTGGAATCTCTGACAGCCTCTGTCTCGGGCACAGACTCAGCTGCAGGCTCCACCCAGGTGCCTCAGCTCAGCTCTGGCTGGGAGAGCCAGGAAGGAAAAGAATGGACACTTTCTTCCCCACCGAGACTGGAGAACTGCCTCTCCAAGCCACTGCCTCCCAGTCCAAGCTCCTAGGCAGCTCCCTTCCCCAGTGAGGAAGCCCCCGCTCCAGGTGGGGTAAGACTCTGGAGAAGGCACCCACTCCCCCGCATCATTCCTAGACTGCTCCCGGGAAGACAAGACCCCCCTCCTGTATCCCCCCATCCATCCCCCGTTCAGGCACCTGCGACTGACAAACGCTGGGTCCACGGGACTGAGGCGCGACTAGGAAAAGTACTCAGGCCAAAGGGAGGGCCTTCCAGTGCAAAAGAGGCGAGTTCAACCTGAGAGGGTCCCCACACCACCGGAGCCCGGGGGCAGAGCCTGTGGGAGGAGCGCCGGGCCGCACGGGGCTGAGCCCCCACCACCTTCAACCAGAGCAGACATTCAGTGAGGCTCCCAAGTAAGGCTCTGGGTGAACAACGCTGTCCGTGGGCACCACCAGGCTGGGGGGTCCCACCAGGGCCTGCGTGTGGCCCAGGCCCGAGGGCGCTGCAACTCAGGGTTCTCAGATTCCAAGTCTTTTAGACACAACTGGCAGCCAGAGAGGCGGCCTGAGCGGGGGTCCCATCAATGCCCCCGCAGAGCCACTCCAGGCCGCGGAGCATCTGCCCCATCCACGAGGCTCCCAGTTCCTGAGCCCCTCTTTCTCCAGGCCACCTGCCCCCTCTGAGGGAAACCGACAGGCCACCCTCCTCCCCTCCCATCCCCGCGGGCCTCACAGATGGCTGCAGGTCAGCAGAGCCCTGTGCCTCCAGCAAGGCCAGTGAGGTGGTGATACCCCAACCGCCCGAGCCGGGGCCAGCCCTGCAGGGACCAAGGACAAGCCTCGGCCCAGCCCTCAGAGCAAGAAGACTCAGGCTGGGGAGGGGCCGGGGCACTCCGGTCTGAACAGGGAGCAGGGAGTCTGAAACCAGGACACCAAGGCAGAGAGAAAACCGAGGGGTGGTGAGTGACCCCTGTCCCTGCAGCCTGGAGGTGGCCCCAAAACCCTGCACAGACGGTGGCTCATGTTCTCATTGGCTCAAGGGCAAACCTGCGAGTTATCTTTGGAAAAAGGGGCTGCTTCCCCCTCACTCAGAGCACAGGGCAGCCTGCTGGCCCCACGAGTCCCCTCTCCTCCCCGAGGCGGCTGAGGTCTTTGCGGACGACACACCGGCCTGCGTCCCCAGCTGTCCGCTCCTCCTGATGAGGGGGAAGCTGTCCCAGGCTGGCCAGGCACCAGTATTCAGAGCAGGTGAAGATGTCACTCCAGACAGGAGGGCCACACGGACATTCTGAAAACCAGCATCGATAAACAGCAACGGAAACAAAAACCGCATTCCCAACGCCTGCAGCTCCAGGGCTGGGGCCCGAAGACCCTGCGAGTCGCCCACGCCCCGTGGGGTGTGGCAGGGCGTCCCGAAAGCCCGGTGGGGAGGCGCCTGGCTGGGCTCACCACGCCAGTTCTTGCCACGCAGGCTGCTGCCTCAGGAAAGCCACTGCCCTGGGCCACAGACAAGTAGTAACAGAAATAAGGAGGGTGACAACACATCTCTTAGGCAGAGCAGTGACAGGCTGTGCCCCAAAGTCCAAACAGGCCAGGCAGAGAAGGGCAGGGACAGGACTCAGGCTGAGAAGAGCAGCTGGCGTCCAGGCAGGGTGGCCAGACCGGGTGGGCGCAAAGGATGGGCCCGCAGGCCTAAGTCATTTGGTGCGGCGCCTCCAGCATCTCCATGAGGAAGGTGTCAATGGGCGTGTCCCCAATGAGCTTGAAGAAGAAGAGATGTTCCAGGCACTTGAGCCCGATGGAGCGCAGAGCCGGCAGGCGGAGCAACAGCTTGGCGAACCTGCAGGGAACGGGTCTGGTGACGGCCAGGCAACGGGCAGGGGCAGTTCTGCCCTGGCACCTGGAGGCCTCCCTGCGGATGGGGCTGTGTCTGAGAGCCCAACCCAACCGAGGCTGGTCTGTAGCCCCGGATCTGCCTGTGCCAAGCCTCCAGAAGGAAGGAGGGGAGGCTAGAAGGAAACAGGGGCGGTGGTATCCCAGAGCCGGGAGAGAGTGAAGGGGGATCCCTGGGGCCGAGGATGGAGATGAAGGGCCAGGGGCCAGACAGCGGCTGGCTAGGGCAGGCTGAATAGTTCTTTGTAAAGAAGTGAAAAATTGTGGGCAGCTGGGCATGATGGCTCACACTTGTAATCTCAGCACTTTGAGAGGCCGAGGTGGGAGGATGGCTGGAGGCCAGGAGTTCGAGACCAGCCTGGGCAACGCAGTGAGACCCTGTCTCTACAAAAGAACAAGAGAAAAACAGTAGCCAGGCGTGGTGGTGCACAATGCCTGTACGGAGGACCACTTGAGCCCAGGCTGAGGCTGCGGTGAGCTACGATCATACCACTGCACTCCAGCCTGGGCAACACAGCGAGACGCTGTCTCTTAAAAAATGGAAAAATGTGGGCCGTGACAGCCAGGAGCGGGTGTGAGGTCAGCAAGGCATCTGGCTGCAGCAGCCATCGCAGCAAGAGACTGTGGGGCCTGTCAGGGAAAGGGCTGCTGAGCACACTGGTGAGTCGCAGGGAACAGGCAGGGCACATGGTGGATAACCAAGAAGTCAAAGGGCATCAGGTGGGGGAGGAGGAGTCAGGCTGCGCCCCCACTGCAGGTGGAGCCGGGCCTGACTTGGGAGCTGTGTACCGGGGCAAGCCCCTTTCCATACAGTGCCTCCCACGGCACCTCGTGCAGGGCTGTGGGCCTCAGACCAGGCCACCCCTTCCCCAGAAATAGCTCTGCTGGTGTTGGGCACAGCCTGGTCAGAGAAGGCTGGCGGGGGAGGGAGGGAGCATGGGTTGCTCCTCAGGGCCTGGCCCACCCCGGGGAGTTTCCTGGGGCAGGGACCAGTGGGCTGGCGGAGAGGGAGCGGGGGGAAGTCTGGGGCTCTGGGAAGAGGGATGGCAGGGCCAGGCATGAGGGCAGCAGCTGCCGCTGAGGACAGGGGGGACCAGGTGTCCCTTCTGGCTGGCCGTGTCTGCCCCAAGGCCCCTGTGCACGGCCTGAGTCTCTCCACACGGCCCCTCCAGGGGCTGCGGGACCTCATTAATTATTAACGACGTCTCTCTTTCAGGGAAAAGCTCTGTGGTTGGCTGCCTCGCAGTTCTTGTTTTAAAGGCAAAAACAGCGCAGAGGCTGGAGTCCGGCCAGAGAACAAGCTGTTTTCTGCTGAGCTGGCGAGATGGGCCAGGGCAGAAAGCCAGGAAAAATAAGCTGCCTGCCACCCCCTCCTGTCCTCGTCCTCCGGGAAGTTTCACTTTAAACCAAGCCAGATGAGGGCTGAGCAGGCAGCGGGGACACGGTTAACTGTGTATGTGCTGGTGGCGGGAGGGCCTGGGTGTCCTAGGAGGTCTGCTGGGCCCCACCTCCCCCAACCCCCCACCCACAGTCTGAGGATCAAGAGGCCAGGAGATGCCCCTTTTGAGAGAAGAGGCAGACTCTGGAGAGCTGACTTTGAAACCGAGGGATCCACAAATGTTTCTCTTCCTAGACACCTACTGTGCACCCAGCACTGCGGACTCAGAAACGAGAGAACCCCAGCCCTTCTAGGGCCCACAGCCAGGCAGGGGAGAAAGATGAACTCCGCGCTTGGGCCGTGGCTGCCTATTCTGTACACACTTGTAGAGTGTTTAGAATGTGTAGGCATCTGGCTATCCACTCTACACATGCTTGTGAAGTACCTACTACGTGCTGGTGTCGCCGGACCTCTGGTGGTTCTGCCTGGCAGGGGAGCGCAGTGGGGAGTGAAGCACAGCCTTCATCTACCTACTTGACAAAGACAAGCACCTACTATGCGCCAGGTGTGAGGTAATCCTTCCGGTGGGGATATAGTGTGAGCCTGTGGGGTGTGCCTGCCACAGCCCACTGGCCTGGAGGACCTCCCGCTGCCTGCTCAGGACCTGCTGGCACGGGCTGGGCCTGGGGAAGGTGCCACCTTCTCATTCACATAAAACAGCCTTGCAGCAAGGTGGGGGCTCTGGAGACAAGAACGCAGGTCTGGGGTGTGTGTGGGACAGGGCGGGACCCACCTTCCCGGCTGCTCTGGGTACTTGTGCTTGCAGTAGGCCTCCAGGGATGCGTAGACCTTCTCCCTCAGCGCCTCCACCTCGGCCGGGTTCGAGAGCCCCTTGGAGTCTGAAAGGAGAAGAAGCCACAGGTCAGAACCCTCAGCTGGGTGTGTTCCAGGCACCCGCCCCCAGGACCCAGGCTTGTGTGGGGTCTCCCAAGCTGCCCCACCACGGGCAGAGTAGGTGGTGTGAGGGACGCCGCTGGACACGCCCCCGCCTGCTCCCCCAGAGCCTGGTGGCAGGGGGATGACCGTGGAATCCATGGCCAGGCCAGACTGCTCTGGCTCCAAGCTCGGCTCTGCCACTTGCCAGCCATGTGACCTTGGGTCAATTATTTGACCTCCAGAGACTCGGTTTCCCCATCGATAAAGTGTCAGGAATCTGCTGCCTTCCAGCCGCCATGGGAACTGGGAGAGACAATGGAGGCCTCTGCTG